TAGAGATGAAAAGGAATGCAGCAACAAGAGTTGTTCGATGGTTGATGTTGAATGAGCGGCGACCGAAGGCCCAGAGCTGTGGTTTCGGGGAGAATAACGAAGAGAAGCCGGGAATCGCAAGCCAAAGCCAGAACAGTGGCCAGAGAAAAAGGCAGGAGAGAAAGTAAAGCATGTGCGATGGAGCTTTGGAGGTAAAGAAGGTGTTGCTTTGTGCTCTGTGTTGGTGGGAGGAGCTCTGCTAGCGCGTGGATCCGAGTTGAACCTTCCATTCGAGAGGTGCCTTGCCCTTCGGCGGTCAGATGAAACCAGATCATCGCACCTTCCACCTTCCAGCTCCCATCTGCTTGCCGCATCGTTCAATCCGGAAAGCATCATGATCACCACCACCACCACCCCACCACACCACGCACTTGGCGTCGGACGAGGCAACGAGATCCCATCAATTCCCATGCGCCGTTTTGCTAGTCCCGAGCTGACGCCAGTGTAAAAACAGAGAGCCGCCTAGTAGCCGCCGATCCGGGTATCGAGTACGAATAAGAGACACGACAAACACCATCCTGCCCACATTGCCCCCTCCCAGGTCAGCCGACAATCTCGGCAGTCTCCTCCATGACGCCCCGACGCCAGTCCTCAATCCTGCTCCGGTCAGCGTCCAAGCTTACACGGCGCGGGACAGCCTACCTCGACGAGATGGCGGCGGGAAGTCGAAGCAACGCAGCCTCGGCATCCGTCAGACGAAGCCAGTCATCCGTCTCCGCATCCAGTCTCTGCTTCAGGTGGTCGTATACGACCAGGTTGATTCCGAGGAGGTTCCGGACCTGGGTGTTGGCATGATCCAGCACCTTCCTGTTTATAGCCCAGCCGTCGCCTACGTTGCCCTCGACACCAACCCTGCTGCCCAGCACGAGATCCTCCAGCTCGGCGCCGATGTCCTCGAACCGCTCCAGCATTGTCTTGAGGCACCGGTATTCGTAGTCTCGCTCGCCAATCACCTTGGGTTGCCCTATCCGCGCGACGCTGCGATTCTCGGCGGCCATGACCAACATGCTAACGTTGAGATGGCAAGAAAAGTCCATGATCTCGACGGCCTGCGCGCATACGTCGTCGGTCTGGAGTCCGACGCTCGACCGCGCGAGATTCAAAAAGCGGATGATGCGCTCGCCCTCGTCGACGATCTGGTCGAGAATCTCGTCGGCCCCATGGATCTCGTCGCGGATGTGGAGGATGGATTCGATGTTGGAGACTGCGGCGTTGGTGACGCCCTCGAACCCGCTGTTTTCGAGCGTGGTCTGGACGGCGACCTGTCAGCACCACCGTGGCTAGCGGGATGGGGGCTGATGAGTACCATGTTTGATGTCGATGCGTCGAGAGCACATGCGCGCCAGGGGGGGTCGGCCGAGGGAGTGCCCGGGAAGAATGGAGAACGAGGAGAGGGTCGGGGAGCGAGGTTGCCGGCAAGATTGCCGGGTTACTTATGATGTCAGCCCACTGGCGCTCTCTCCGGCTCGGCGAGCTGCCAACACGGATTTGGCAACGTGGCTTGCGTTCATGCGCTTTCTCAATCGGACACGGGACGCGCAGAATCTCGTGACCACGACGCGAGAGTTGGTGCCGGCACTCGGGATTTGTACCCCGAACCCTGGTCGTCGCCTCCTTGGCCAGTCGATCTTTGCCATGGCAACAGCTGGGACCACTCCGGCGGACACGACTGCCATCGTGGGCGTTTTGGTTCGATGCCGTCATGCACCACATCCACCATTCGAGCTAGCACCGGGGCACCGGCTCGCCGTCTTTTCTGGGCTGAGTTGCTCTTTCGACTACCGGCAACCTGTCGGCCACGACTTCTCCGTACCGTATACCCACGATCGCCGACCGCTACATTGTCAAGAGCAGCTACAAGCTCGCCGAGCCAACACTCGGTCCAGACCAAGCCCTCTACAACCTCGACACAACTCGAGCCTGACCATGCGGCAGCTCCGGACGGGGAAACCCATCCCCGCCGACTCGGGTCGGCGCACAAGAGTTGAAGAGACATAGGAGATCCAGAGCATCGATGATGGAAACATTCCAACGGCCGAGGTGCAGGACTGGCCGCGAACATCGATGCTATCCGGGATCCTCGATAATGACCATGATCACATCGGAGGAGTGACAGCGGAGAAAGACGACCAATCAACGGGATGTGGTTCGGCCTACAACGTGCTGACACGTTTTGAGCCGCCGGAGCGCTTGCGGACGGCCGTGCATTCGACCCCGCACCGGTAGACACCCCGAGGCGAGCACTGGAGATATCTCGAATCCCGATGCTGTTGGTGGGGGGAGGGACGGGGGTCACATCCGTATGCACCTCGACTCGGTTCGAGCTGTTGGGTCCGCCTGTTGGCAGTGAGTGCGCGATTCAGACTGGACTCGAAAGAATATGATCAAAGTTGGGTAGGTATCCAATGGGCTCCATAGTGTGTGATAAGCCTCTACCCCTTTTCCGGTAAGAGCATCCGTATTCGGTTTAAAGGCTATCGACGATTTAAACCGCTACCAAAGTTCGGCCATATACGGTTCGAATTAGCTTTACATGATACACATACCTTATTCAGCTACCTGCATGCTACTAATTACGGGCAGTCTTGTAGGTCACCAACCAAAACAGTGCAGATCTAGCAGATACCTCGTAGCGTGTACAGATACAAGAGCACTATCTTTTGTCACGTACGAATCACAGACATGTGTCGAGAGAGTGTACATATGCAACAGATCGCACGCCGGTTTCATCGGCCAATCAGCTTGTGAGCATCGGCTGCTTCGCTCACGCCGGCTTCAACTGTGGCTTGCTCGATGGGCGAATGGGAAGGACGGGAAAGACACACGCCGGTTTCAATGTCTTGGCGGGTTGCCGGTTTGGGACGGGTTGGGTTGGGAACGAATCATACACCGCTCTCTTTCATGTGAGGGGTGGTTTGGTGCAGTAGTTGGATGTAAGGGAGTGGATTGGGATTGTTCTAGGTATGGTGTAGAATATTCTTTTTTTTCTTGTCGTAAGACAGGTGAGGGGAAGGTGAGTAACAGGGGGTTGAATCCCCTGAAGCCTTTGGCGCTTCAGGGGGTTGTGGCCTCTAACCTTCTTCTCGGGGGGTTGTGAGGGCCCGGGGGATTTGGTCCGACCACCCGGACTTCAACCAATTAAGTTTTTTATTCTTATTTTGTTTTGAAATTCCGGTGTTTGGTCTTTTTTTGGTAAAAAACGGAAGCCGAGCTGATGGGCACAATGTGTCGATGCAATGGGGGAGTAGAAATCCCAAAGTATTGGTTGGCTCACAGCTAGCCTACCTTGCATCGACACTTGGACCGCGCGGATATGCAATCGACCTGCCTGCTTCCGGAGCCCCGGCGGCGGACCAACATGTTCAGGTAGAGACATGCTACTCTTTTAACCTACCTAGCAAAAGCGTGTCCATTTCCTGGGTGGTTTCTGCACTGCGGTGTGTGTGATGACATACCCCATGGGTTGGAACAAATAGGGCCGATGCTTTTCGGGGTATATTCCCCCGGGGAAAGTTTTCCTCTCTGCGCGGCCTTTTTGGTAAGGCTTGTCGGTGGGACGCCACTGGGTGTGATGAACCGCTGAAGGAGAGATGTAGTGTGTGTTCTGTGTTGCTGGTCACATATTGCGTACACCTCGATGTTTCGTGGTGACGGTGGACGGGGGGTTGGCTTTTCTGGCCTTTTTACATTCGCAATTTCTTGAGTTTATTGTAGTTCTTTTTACACGGAATGGTGTTTTTTGCTGTTGACCCCCCAAATAGTTATCATACTTTTCCATTTGGAGTTTGCTGTCCCTTCTATCCTCCTGTTGTGGTTTCTGGAGAAGGGACAGTGTTGGTCGCCATGAAAGGGTGTCCGTATGATGAATCCCTAAAGCAAAAGAACAAAAGGTGATGCTTCCCCGCCGCCACGTCTGGTGGCACCGCGTCGTCTCATGCATGAAGATGCAGCTTGACCACTTTGTCCCCGTTAATCTCGATCTCATCGGACCCGACGATCGTGGCTTGTTTTTTGTGGAGTCGAGGGTTCGTTCTGCTCTCGGCCGGTAAGGTCAAGCCCGGTTCGCGTCATGGTGTGTCTGTGTCTGCGCAGGCGGGTGGTGTCACTGGTGTAGATCATCCTTGAATGGGTTATCTGTTGCTGTATCATGCACTTACTGCTCTTATTCTTTAGCGCTCGATGTGTCTTGGGGGTGATGTCTGTCTCAGTCTTGGACCCTTATGGACCCTTGGGGCATATCGTCTGATCTGATCCCGGGTGATCTCTCATATCCCGTCTGATCGGGTTTGGTCTCGTCCAACCTGGTCTGATCTGTGTGTTTCTAGTCCGGTCTGGCCGGGCCTAGTCTTGGTCGTATCCGGATCTAGACTAGCTAGAGAAAAGCGCATGATATAAAGTAGAAATATCCTTTGAGGACCTCGGGCTGTCATGGCTTGAGGTGTTGTGAACCGCCAATAGGGTTATGGTCCTGGTCAGGGCTGTCAGGGGTGCATCCGTAGGGGGTACGTGTACAAGGGGAGTGCCTAGTTTCATCTCGGAATGTCGCCCTTTTGTTCTCATGTACAGCATTTTGCGTTGCAAAGGGAAGACATTTGACTGCTGTCAAATAGTCTGCAACCTGAAAGGCCAGCTACCTTCTATCCCAAGTTTAACAAAAACCTCGGCTGGGAAGAGCGGTCAGAATATTTACGGACGGCGGAAAAGGCCCATCAAGTTTTCAGATAAGGGGAAGGGAAATTCCTTCTCCCAACGCCTACTGGACACCAACATTCATCCTCGTTACCGCAGAAGAAACGCCATCCAAGCAGCTTTCTAGCAAGCCTGTACCAGGATTTCATGGCGGATTCCGACGTCAATGTTGACACACTGGCAAAAAAATATCAATGTGAACCCCATTTGCGCCGTCTGGGGAGACGCGAGAAGAACCAAAAAAAAAGATGATAACCGCATCACAATAGAAGTTCCCGTACCGGGGTTCGAACCCGGGCCGTCAGGGAATTTCAAGAGAAAACACTTGAAAACCTGATATCCTAACCACTAGACTATACGGGAGTGGATCATGGCAACAGACCCTCTACATCATTAAAAGAAGGCCGGTGCAAGATATGATTACCTCATGGGGGTATATGTTACCTGCATACTGGCCTCTATTCACAGGTTCTTGAAGGCATACGCAGTGAATCTAAGCCACATGTGCGCAGACTGGATGCGTGGGTAGCTAAAACCGAAGAAGCGAAACCCACACTAGTATTTGATGTTTTGATGTAAACTTTCTAACCGTCAAAACACCACTCGTCCAAGACAACGTAGAACATCTCTTCAATCTATTTCACATGCAATATCCGTAATTACAGCCTCATTACCAAACCTCCTCCCAGCCCCTACACAACAACAATATCCCAAAAGATTATCTAGGTACCCAAAACGCCAAAAATGCCCGGCCATGCAACTCCACCCGCCATGCAAAAAAAGACAACAAGATTACCAATCTAAGGCTTCGCAACCTGCTCCTTCCTGAAAAACTTAAAGAACCCAATCGGCAACACCAACTGCAACCCCAAGCACACCCAGAAAAACGGCATACTGATCCCCGGCATGATCCCCTCCGAGAAATCAGGAAACACCGGCCCCGGCATAATCTTGTTCGGCGCCGTTCCCCTCGCGAGAATTGTAAATCCCGCGCCGAGGACCTGCGCACCAATCAGCGTGGCGGCGACATGTTGCCGCGTGAGCGTGAGCAGCAGGACCATCCCGATACCGACGCCCTGGATGTTGTCGAGCACGCCCAACCACAGCCACAGACAACGCGATACGATGGCCGAACCCACTGCCGAGCCAGCCCAAGGAAGGTAAAGTCCAATTCCGCTCGCACCCCAGAGCATCTGCGCCCAGCGTGGGGCGCCGAGACCGATGGCGAAGAGCGGCACGATCCAGGGGTGTGTCTTGGAAAGACGGGAGAACAGCGCCAACAACGCGATCCACACACCAATGAAGAAACCGAGCGAAAGTATCAGGGCCGCCCAGCCGGGAATGGCCTTGGAAGAGAACAAGAACGACCAGCTCTGACCGTAGTTGGTCGTGAGCCAGTAATTCTGCACTGCAACGTAGAAGAAGAACCATGGTATGACGTGGCGGCGGAGGAGTGACTTGTAAAAGCTTGGGATAGCGTCCGGAGACTGGCGGTAGTAGTCTGGGAGACCGACGAAGGAAACAACCCCCAGTGCCCAGAGGACGATGGCGATGGGAACCGTGATGACGAGGATCGTCGGCACTTTCCCGGCAATGTAGCCGCCATTAGGCATACCGGTGGGCGTCTGGGCGGTGATCAGGCTTCCCCAGAACCAAAGCGCAACGAGGTATAGTTGCTGGATGCCTTGGATCAGAGCGGCGCGGAAGATCCATGTCATGATGGGCGCACCTCCTACAATGTGTCAGTCAGCGAAACTCAAGAAAACAAACGGAGACACGTACCTTCGTCGCCAAAGTTCATGGCAAAGAATAGTGCACCGCTCGAAGCGCCAGTCGCATACAGAGCCGACGCAGTTGTCTGAACAGGGCCACGAATATCCACCGACATGAACGGCGTGAGACCAAGAAGAAGAAAAGCCAGACCGTAAAAGAACCAGGGGATCGACAGCGAGTAGTGTGCGGAAAACCGGCGGAAAAGCAGCCACCACATGGCGGACGTCACCGCATATGTGCCGGCGATGATGTACAGCTGCTTCTCCGTCTGACCAGCCTCACCAGCCAACAACACGATCTGATACGAGTTCGCAGACAGGATCTGCCCGAGGGCGAGGATGAACGAGTAGACTGGCCAGTCGCCGACGCGAAGAGAGAGTAGTTTCTTGAGACCGGTTGGCGGTCGGTACCCATCTCCGAGAAGAAACTCATCGTCGCGGCTAGATCCGATATGCTGGTCATCCTCCTCCTCTGAATGTCCGGCGCTGCTAACGGTGACGACGCTTTGCGGTCGGGACCGTAATCTGCTTCTTCGGTCCAACAGACTTGGTGCTGGGCTTCTCTCCCGGCTCGGGTCGCGACTTCGACCGAGCTTGGCATCCCGGAACTCTTTTGCCCAGCGCTTCTCGCTCTCCTTGAGATAATCATCGATGCAGAGCTCCGTATCTGAGTTCTTGGCGTTCAACCCAGAGAGCTTCTCCTCAAAGGCCTGGTAGTACTCGCCGGTGCTGTCGGTGAAGAACGGATCTACCTTCTGCAGCTTGAAGTCGTGGCGGTCGCCAACGACATCGTTGACCGAAAGGCGCGAGCTCATTTGGTGTGGATTGAGGTAAATACCTCTGCCGCGGGGAGCGTCCATAGACAAACCGAATGGTAGTTGCCGAGACTCGGATCCATCTGGCGACATCATTCGCATGGCGAGACTGTCAACACTCTGGCGATTATGGCTGTGATCGTTGGCGACGATGGTGAGGAGGCTTGACGACGAAGAGCGCGCAGAGTGGTTGGCGAACATCGGGTTAGGCCGCATGAGAGGCGGACTCGTCGCATCGCCGGCCATGGGCGAAATGGGTCGGGAAGGTGGCGTCAAGTTCCCGCCACTTTGCTCCCGGTCATGATAGGTCTCAGTAATGCGTGGAACTGAGATGCTAGATCTCCGAGAGTGGTCACCCGAGTGCAGCGGAGTCTCTGATTCGCTTTCGTCGAAAGACGGTCGAGCGCTGTCAAAGTACGACGGGACAGCAAGACGAGAGCCGCTGCTAATCCGCTTGTGCTTGCTCGCTTCTCGGTGATGGATCCGGATGGCCTCGCCTTGCAGTTTGTCGAGGTCTTCGACCCACTGAGCGACCGGGAAGCGTTGCTTGGCACTCCATGCCCTCATGCTTTGTCTGGTCTTCAACTTTGACTCGAGGGCACTGGTGATCGCTCCACGGAACTGGTGAAGGAGATGTTGCGGCGATGTGGATTCGACGGTGTACCAAAAGCCAGGCATCTGTCCCAGGCCGCCAACGCGAGCGCCGACGCCGAGTGCTCCCTTGCGACCAAACTCGACCGCTACCAGCCCAAAAGGCTCGTCACGGGACGGAATGAGAGCGAATTCGGCACCGCTGAAGATGTACGGTGGAAGTGCCGTAAACTCAGGCTTGCTGTAGACGCGTTTGGGATAGCGTTCCATGAGCTTGGACAGCTTGAGAGCTGCAAATTTGCCGTACAGATCGATAACAGGCCCGATGCAGATGAGTTGGGTGTTGGGATACTTCTCCAGGATCGAGGGGAAAACATCGGCGATGAGGTCCACGCCTTTCTGTAGTGACCAACGGCCGACAAAGACAAACAATTCAGCCTCGGGGTTGACTTCGAGGCCGGCCCACTCCTGTGCCTGCCTCCTGAGATCGCCGCGGTTGGCCTCAGCCTCTTGATCGACAACGACATCTTGTTCCTTGACCTCCTCGCCTCTTGTCCACTCGGCCGTGTCGCTTGGATCAGGGTTGGGTAGCTGGCCAATCTTGGAAAGACCCCAGAAGATAGGGTAGCGAGCGTATGAACGATCGCCATACTTCTTGGAGACGCCAACGGCACCAAAGCCCTTTTGATGAACGCGCAGGTAGCTGGCGCCGGCGTGCAAGAGATTGAAGACGGAACCGAACTGGATGTACTCCTTCACAATCTCGGGGTTGAGATTGAATACCTCGCACACTTCCTTGGACTCCTCCGGGTTCCGCATGGGCCAGAGACCCTGGAACTCGGCGTTGTGGAGCGAAAGCGCAACTGGAATGGTGCGATCTGGGAGCAGATAGAGCGGGGCCGCAGCGCCGTGGTAGTCGTTGATGTGATAGAGATCAGGGTTGAACCGGCGAATTGTCTCCGCAATGCAGTAGTTCCAAGCCGAGTAGTAGATAGCTGAGTCGATATCGTCCATCCGAGGCGGGTAAGGGTCGGCTTTGGTGCGTTGGCGGAAGATGGGTGCGTCGAGGAGCACGTAAGTGATGTTTTGCACCTGATGGTACTGCACCTCGATCTCAAACTCCTTGCCCATGATCGGAACATAGATCGAGGGAGCACGCTCATCAACTGGGTAGTCAATGCCGCCGACGCATGGGACGACCCAGATCAGGTCTTGATGTTCGAGCGCTTTACCCATGAGCTGCGCCATAACGCCTAGGCCTCCGATCTTGATCTTGATGTTCCAGTCATCAATATTGTACTCCATCGTGGCGATGATGACCTTTCTCCGCTTGCCAGACACCGGTCCGAGCTCCTTGTCCGCTTCGGATTTGTGACGGAACTGCTCGTATGGGATCAGGCTTCGGAACGGCGACCGCGCACGCTTGAACCCGATCTTGTTGACTTTGATCTTGTAGAAAGACCCCATGAACGTCCAGACGGCAAACAGCCCCCCGACGATGGGAAGAGTAGCCAGGAGGATGAACAAGACAATCTGAACCCACATGTTTCCCTGCGGCTCCTTTGCAAATTGGAAAGTCGCATCGTTAAACACCAACTTGTACGAAAGCGCGGGCACCGGAGGCGGCGCAGTAGCATTGAGAACGTTGAGCGCCAGTGATGAAGGCGGCATGCGATCGACGACACCATCGCCATCGACATCGCCGTAGACGAACCCAGCATCCGGCTTGCCATCCGGGTTCATACCCCAGACGTTCAATTGGAACTGGGTCGGCCATTCGTCCATCAAGTGCGCCTCCCACGTGCCGTCCGACGAGAGCTTGAATTGGTTCTGGACGCCGGCATCGAAGCCGAACTTGTTGAAGGTGCCGTGGGCGAACAGATGCGGGAACCGGCGGGCTGTCTGCGGAGTGCTATCGCCTTCCTGCTGGAACGAGTTGCTGGCCAGCTTCTTGGACCAGTACTGAACGATGACATGGTCTCCTTCCCAGGCCTGGAGAGAAGTCCCAGACCAGGGCAGGTTGGTGATCTTGTCCTTGCCTCCCTTGTAATCCATCCACTCGCTCCACGAAGACGCCCAGTTGGTGCTGTAGCGCCATTTGTCCGCTCCAGCAGCCTGGTGGTTGATGAAGAGATCGCTCCCCTCCTTCGTCACCAAGGTGTTGGAGTAATTCGCGGACGCGTAC